AAGCAATAATTATGATTTATCAGCCAGGAAATAAAAAATTTGGTATCGGCTAGCCGGTCAGCTAAGCCGATCTAGTCAACTATCATTGACTACGGCTATAACCGGTCAGCTAGCCGGCTATAGCCTAACCGAACCCATCCCTATTCCCGCCTGTATAACGCAAGCCGGCTGTTAATATGAACATGTGATGTTACATTGATATTCAGTAGTTATAATTACGAAAATGGTAGGTTTATTTAGCTGTGATTTGTGTGCTATTGAAACTGAAACGGGATATGCTCCCGGAAATATCAATAATATTGCGCCGGGAGATAACCGTAAGCAGTTATTTACCCTAGGTGCCACACAAAAAATGCGCGGCAGATCCTCGATTTTGATTGACTAACAGCCGAAGATCTTCGAAATTTTGGTCCGCATTACAAAACTGTTTACTAAATTCCGGCCGGAATTAACTTTTTAATTTTTTCAGTACAAAATGGAAATTTTTAAAAAATAAGCACGCATTATTATAAAATTAACACAGAAACAATTTTCACTTAATGGGCGGCTGCGATTTCATTAGTAAAATTATGAGTAATTCCGGCTTAATTTATTTTAGCCAATTAAAATCAAGGATCTGCCACGCATTTTTTGTGCGGCACCTAGGTTCAATGTAAGAAGTTGTTTATGCGGCTTAGCGCTGGCCGGTGGTTTCCCATCTGCTAATACAGGCCGGCCATTAGTATGAAAATGTGATATTGATATTTACAGTTATATAGCAGTTTGTGCTGCTTAGCGCTGGTTGCCTGCATAATGCAGGTGGCCGTCAGTACAAACACGTGATATTGATATTATGAGAATGGCCGGATTCTTTTGGGAGGGAGGGTTGGGTCGCGAATTCTGGTCTGTCGGATCAATCGTTGGCACAAGGCCCAATTGCGTTTGCCATGGGTTTATCTTCATTCTCATTGCCGCCTTTATCAAGTTAGTGATTACTGTTTATAGAAAGTCATACAAATCATACCCACCTCCTTTGATTGTCTGGACCGGACTTGTTCTGGTTGATGGTTCCACAATGCGCATCACATGCTTAGCAGTAATACGAATTAGTACTGTAGTGTAGATGCAAATCAAAGAACTCGGCCTAACACGCACGCAGTTGAGTGTAAAAATATGGCGTAATCTTATAATTTGTAGTTGAGTGTAAAAATATGGCGTGATCTTTAATTTGTAGTTGAATGTAAAAATAGGCATGGTTTCTAAATTTTGTTGTGCCGTTTTTTTTTCTTTGCTATGATGTTTATTGGTCACAAATAGGTGCGATATGAGTGCTACCAAGGGAAAAGGGCTTAATGAATTTTTAATATAGACTTTGATAAATGATATCTCATATATTTTGTATCAAATTCTATAAATTTAATACAATCATTGATCAAAGTTTATATTAAAAATTCGGTAAGCCCTTTTCCCTTGACAGCACTCATATAGTATATGTACACACGCACGTACAACTCAACTTTTAATCTAGACAAGATTATCTCATTCTAATTACTATTATAGTATCTTTGATAGTTGGCAACTTAATTGTGCACGATATTTGGCGTAAAGTTAATATTATGTAAGGTTAAGGCTTTCTTTTTTTGGGGCATACATAAATTCAAATTATTCATTACCACGAAGTTGATTATCGCCTAACTTGTGTAATTATTACAGGTAGGATCAATATACTAGTAAAAGTATTTACATCTTTATTTTATCATTTTTTTAAAAAAAATGAATTTTCATTACAATTATCAAGACCTATCACTTAAGCCACATGAACCATTTTATGATGCTATAATAATAGGCGGTGGCATCGCAGGCTCGTCTTTTGCAATAAGGATATCCCAGTTATTTGATTCTTCAAGATTAACATTTAAAAAAATTTTAATTATCGAAGAGAAATCAATAACTTATAAATTATTTAAAGTTGGTGAATCATTACCTGCTGAGGCCAAGCCAGTGCTTCAATCTCTAGGAGTTCTTGAAAAAGTGAATGATGACACTATTCAAGGTATTTTTTAATAATACTGTATTTAACTAATAAAGTAAAGTTTAATTCTCAGTTATTATTCATTACACTTTTGCATATTATATGCCTTATTTCTCATATCAAGGGAGCCATCTCTTTTGCTACGACAACAACTCTGCATGGGGTTCCAATAATCTAAATGGCACTGATTCCATATTCAATCCATATGGCAATGGATTCCATTT